GGGAAAGAGCATGGGAAGGAGTTAACAAGGGTAATTTCGAATATGGGGAATTTGAGGTACCGATGGGACATCCTATGGAATTATCTAACAGGCAGACGGTATCTATAAAAAAAAAATCTATGTTACAGATGAGAATTTGACATTAATCAGTATAAAGATGGTAAATGGAGACAAGAAATTAAGATGAAATTTCCAAGGAGGTGTAAAGAGTGGGAAGTGGTCTAGGCCAGAATCTTGAGGAAAGCCATTCTGAAAGAGGCAGAGAGAGAGAGATGGTCAAAGACAAAGTAGGAAGATATCCAGAAAGGAATGGTGACAGTGAGCCAATGCTAAGAGATGAAGAATACGAAGTATGCGTTTCAGAAAGACAACTCAACAGGAGCTAGAAAAGGGAGGATTCACCTTCCCACTATCCCCACCAACCCCATCAGTCCTCTCTTTACCAACTTTATTCCCTTCACGACACTATCTGAAATTCACTCACTCATTCACTTATTCACCTGTCTCTCCCCACTATGTCGGCTCTATTTTAGAGCAGGGACCTTGTGTCTTTTCCCTATGGCCTACACAGCACTTAGAAACAGCACCTGGCGTGTAGTAGGTACTCCATAAATACCCACTGAATTGCAAAGATCGAGGGAAAGTGTAACAGTTATGTAACTAGGTCAGTGACAGCAGAGTTGAAGAAGAGAGATTCAAAAGGCATATTCTGGAGGCAAAAATCACTAAAACTGGTTAAATGAGGGAAAATGGGAGAAAGAAAATTTTCAAGTATTACTACCAATAAAATTTCACTCAGCAGACTACTGTCAGTTGTATCAGGTATACCAAATCACAGTCTGCATTCCAAAGTTATTTAACTTTTCCCATTTAATATGCTCCCACCTCCTAGAACTATCATGAATCTGAAGACATAAGAGTAATCTGAATGTTTCAGATAGGAAAAGCTATAAACTTTATCATATATTCTCAGTGGCATCTGGAGAGCAAAATAGCCAGCACACATGGAGCCTTTTCTTGGCTGAACAGAACTGTGTTGATTAAATCATCTAAGGGAAAGCCTATCAGATGCATCCAAGATAAGTGACTGGCAAAGTAATTAAGTACATGGAGACTTTGGAATGAAGTGGGAAAGGCTTTAAATTCGTGCTGTTATTTGACAACTATGTGATCTCTGTAAGCGTCCCAGTTTCCTCATCCTCACAAAGGAAATTACATACATACTAATCTTAAGTGCTGAAAAAATACTTTCATAAAGAGCGTTACAGTCAAACTGATGGACGCTTCACTTCAATCTCACAAGTCCAATGGGTGCCAATGCCAACACCTCACACTCTCCTGCCTGATTGTCATATCTCCCTCTACTTTCCTGCATGAATCCCCCACTCATGTAAAGACCACTTCACTTTTGTCACCTAAGCACATCCTACACACTCCTTAAGCTTAGCTTAGGATATTTCTCTTACCTCCCCTTCCACTTCAATCCCACTCATCCTTCAAGGCTCTATGTAAGTTCTTATCTTTCTCTCAAGTGTCTCTTCTGACCACCTAGGCTAATAATGACCTCTCCTCCTCTGAATCCTTCTAGGATTTTTCTGGACCTCTCAGTTAACAACATACTGCAACACAGCTTTCTATTTCTTAGCTCCTAACTAGAGTATCAGTAATGGAAGGGCTCTTATTAAAACAAGTACTCTGCACACAGTGTGCACACAATACTTGAAACTGTCTGTATGCAGCCCAATCTGGTAACTTAGTGACCAGTCAGGGAAGGCACAAAACATTTAATTAAGACCCTCATGTTCCTCCTCCCTTTCCACTCTCTAATCTAGTTATTAAAGATGTGACAGTCACCAACGTATGTGTTCACCTTGCCTGCAGGCAGACCTTGGCCTTTTCCTCCCATCGCTCAGAGACCGTGAGGAGCTCCTGAAGCTCAGCCATCGCTTTCTCCACCGCGTGGTGGGGTGCCAACCCCACCCCAGAGTCTATCAATTTCTTCATGACATCCAAAGTGACCTGCTGTGGATCTGACAGGGTCAGTCGTACTTCGTCCAACCATCGAGCCTGCTGTAGCTCTTGCTTTAGCCGGGCTAATTCAGGTAGCTCCACGTAGAGACCAGAGCCCATATCTATCAACATCTGCAGTTTGGAAGAATCTGGGGTTTCATCCATCATGGCCTCCTGAGCACGTTCATGAAACTCTTCCACATCATCCAGTAGATTCTGAAAAGATCAAAAGAAAAAAAAGAAAAAACAAACTTAAAAGACACAAAATGAGTATGGAATACATACAGTTCAGGCAAACTACCAAATTCTAGACTATCTAATAATCTCAGCATCATAGCACCAAACAGATATGATAAAGGCAAAAATATGTTTCTCTGTAATTACATACTCCTACTTTTAAATATGATTAATTCACTCAAAAAATATTTAATGACTGCTGACTTAGTTACAGGCACTATTCTAGGCATACAGCATTAAACAAAAATACAAAGTCTTTGTCTTCAAGGAACACATATTTTAATGTAAGTGGCCAGACAGTGAAGACATGAATAAAATGTTTCGGTTAGTTTTAAGTGCTATGAAAATCAAATAGGGCAATACAACACGATATAATACAAAAGTGATCTGAGGGGATGGCGGGGAGGGGCATATTACTTTGCAATGACGGTCACAAAAGACAGATGAGCCAAAACTAAAATGAGGAGGTAGAGGAGGGAACCGCCTGGAGACCTGGAAGAGAGTAGTTCAGGCAGGGCAAATAATCACTGCAAAAGCTTTTAAAGAGGAATGAGCTTGTGTCTTGCTCCTAAGTGGCTGATGGGGAGCAAAGTGGAAGCAGGAGAAAGTAGTTAAGGAATAAGCAGAGGTCAGATTACATAGTGCCTTGTAGATTAATTACAATGAGTTTGGATTTCATTTGAATGGCTTTGGGGAACCACTGGGAGGATTTTAACCACATGGAAGTGGTATGATTTTATTCTTATTTTATTACATAATCACTCTGGCTATTGAATAAAAAATAAACTTTTGGGGACAAGAGCAGAAGAACAGAGACCAGTTAAGAAGTTGTTGCAGTAACCTAAGTGGCAGATTCCAGCGGT